GAGGAAAGGGATGTCTCAGCTTTGCTAAGACGAAAAAAAAAAAATCTCTGTAAGAGCAGAATGGCAGATAACTGCCTATAGTCTAAGTTCCAGCCCAAATAAAACTCCATATTTGCTTTGCCATAAACTAGGTTCAGCCACTTTTCTCTCAGAGAGAAAGGTCTTTGTGGATCATGCCTCGGGTCCATTTTCAGCAAAGACCTACCTGTGTAAGGAGCAAAGATGATGAAGTCAAAGGTAAATAATGAAGTTGTTACTCACACCCGTAGTCTAATCACTCAACTGTGATACAGGCGTCAGTATGGCATCTACATTGCTGAACGCAAAGTCAAAAAACAGAGAGAAAATTATTCAGAAGTTAAGGAACTTATATTTTGGCTGTTCTTTTTCCTGCAAACATTGGAAAATGTTGCCCCAGAAGGCTGCAGAATCTTCCTTAGAGATCTGCAAGATTCCCTGGGACAAAGCCCAAGAAACCCAGCCCAAATTTAGTGTCGATCCCGTTGTGAGCAGGAGGCTGGCCTAGATGATCTTCCAGCCTGAGTGATCCTATGACTTCTGTGAACTGCCTTTCTAGAAGCTTGAATAGCCTTTAAAGTTACCTTCAAAAAACCAAATATCTATAATTCATTAGAAAATCAGCACTTCATAAAGTTGCAACTATGCCCGTACAAGTTGTACTTCCCCAGCTAGCAAACATACCGCTGTAATGGGTGATGGTGCCTCACACCGTGCCATCTCTGCACCCACTTCTTCACTACTTAGGAAGCATGAGCTGCCTTATTTCAGACTAGTTAGATTACAGGTATCACTCAACCCAATTCAGTTAAAGTAGTACAAAGTTGCATGTTGATTAAAATTATTTACTTCAGTTAAGTTTAATATGCTGGTGGATTATTTTTATAGATTTATGGTAGAGCAAACCACTCAAATCAAACACAAACGGAGATGTGTGTATACATACATAAAGCCAGTTTAACTAAATAAAAAATTTTAAATATATAATTAAACATGAATTTATGTGTATAGAAGGCTGTGGCTTGGCCCTCTGGGATCCTAACATCCTCTTTTATTAACTTTTTTCCACGTGGGAACTCTCTACTTTATATACAAGTACTGATGTATGAATCTGTAAATACCGTCAATATTTCATTTTCTACAAACTGCCTATAAATCACATCAAGTCAGGACAGCCCTGGGCAGACATAGCAAGTCACTGAAGTAAGAAACACACACTTTAAAAATAATCCCCATTTATTTCAGAAACAGTACATCAAAGAAATACTTGACCTGTGCATCCACAGACTCCATAAATAGTTTGATAAACAATTAGTACTGTGCAACCAAGCCACAACACCCATATGTTTCAAAGTTCTTCGGAAGATAATAGAACATCATTGTTCCCATTTTACAGCTGGAACAGCTGAAACAGAAAATCCAGATGACTTCTCTGAGGTCTCATAGGAAATCAGTGCCATGAATGGGGGAAAAGGCCCACGACTCTTGGCTCTCAAACCCAGTCTTAAGCCACAGAAGACTTGACCATGACTAAATTTATAAATAAAAACTGAGACAAAAAATTACTTGGTTCTTTCAACCCAAATAAGAAACAAAGATTTTTCATGGGTACCAGACCTGGTCATTATTGCAGCAATCTGTGGATCAATAAGACCAGATATCCCAAAGCCACTCGTGGGAAGAGACCCCTTAAAAAAAGCCAGATGGGTAGAAAGAGGACAGCGGCATGGAGCAAGCTAGACCCCAGGGTCCACTGAAACCACCAAAACTGAACTTGTGGCAGAGCAACATTCCAGATAAATCCCCAGAAAGCCAAGAGGCGTTTCTGAGTTGCAAGAGTTTCTGCAGAGACCCCTGCACTAATGAACACTTTCCTCATGCTGTAGCATGGGGAGCCCAGCTACGAGGAGGTTCCCAGGCCACTTCGCTGTCAGGAGGCCTAGCAGGGCCATGGGAAGCAGAGGCTGTTGGAGAACAGTTGTTCTACAGCTGAACCAGGGCTTGCTCAGGCACCCATCAGCCTGGCATCATGGTGGCACAAGGCATGAGACTTACCCAGAAAGACACTTCTACACAGGGTCTTCATTTCTGCAGTATGGCTATTCTAACGATTACTGCTCGACTTTGCATGCTTTGCATTTCAACATAGTAGCGCATTGCTGAACACTAATTAGAAATAGCACTTGTTGTCCACCATGTATGGACATAGTGTCTCAAGAGGACTGGGATTTCACAGGAGGTTATTTCTATGGGCAGAGAGAAATGAAGATTGACCTCTTTTGGCATGGGTATCTACTCTAAGGGGCTACAGAGACTGGCCTTAGGGCATGCTTGCTTACTGCCTTTGAAGAATAACAGTGCATAATTCTGATGTTGTAGGCATGGCACGGCACCTGAGCACACGCTTCACAGAAGGAAAAGCAATGCACAGATGAGCTGGGAAAAAAGAACGATGCTATGGCCAATGCGGTATCTAAGGATCTTCTTTCCCTTATATTATCCAGTCATATTCACAGTTCAAAGATCTTTGTTAGCTCCCACAGAGCTTCCTACATGGAAGTTTGGGACTTCAGGTGAGGCCACACAGCTCATTTGGTGTCATGCTGATCTCTTGGTTTTGCCTGTGAGCTGGACACTTCCAGTTTTCCTGAGGTAGTAGCTACAGAGGTCTTTGTTTCACACTTTTAAGAAATACAAAAATAAAGGAAAGAGGGACTGGCAGACAGATGTGCTGGAGTTTCTTAGGTAAGACGCAAACACACTTGATATAAAACATGTTTCTGAAATACTCCATTGGACAGACAGTGCCAGAGCCTCCAAAAGCAAACCTCACCCTCTTGGAATCACCCTGAAGAACAATTACAGGATTACTGTGGCAAGTTACAAAACAGTTAATCAGAGAGGCATGACTTTTCATAAATAAATGGCCAGGCACCTGGCTCTCCAGGGCCCAGAACTTCATGCAGAAGGGACGTTTCGCTCACTAACAGTCTGCAGGAGGTCAAGGCAGAAGAACTGCAGGTGCTGTGCTGTAACAGTACACAGTACTGACAGCAGGGAAGACAGTGCTGCTATAGCAAGGCATTCATAGAATTTATGTGCAGAAAGTATTTATCAGACGACAAATACACCCACTCTTTCTGTTGTTCTGCCAGTTTTTCTGCCAAGCATTTTACCAGGACAGGGTCTACTTTGGAGTCAACCTTGTTGGCAAACCAGTGCCCATAATCCAGAAGCCATCTTAATTCTGCAGCCCCATAAATGCAGACACTGCGAAGATGGTTACCAGTGCAGGGAGGATACAAATGGTCTTCAAGGTAATTCCATTTCACCAGACGAGTTTTGCTTTGTAGGTCTGTTATGTCCTGAGCCGACCTTGGAACCTCCCCAGGGACCCCAGGAACACGTACAAGAGTAGCCCAGAAATGTTCATCCGGAGAGTATGTATCCCTTGACCACTCGAAAAAATCTTTTGCAAGAGAGCTTTCAAGAGTATATTGAATAAATGCTCGGCTTAAAACAAAATAGGCACTGCCTACAAATATCTCAATATTATGAGGTGGCGGATTCTTGGAAATGTTGGTTTTTACAGGCATCTGCGTGTATTCATAAGGCACTTTCATAAGTTCATAGTGATAAGTAAATCGTTCTCTTTTGCTACTGCTTGGCTTTATAGTTTCCAGCATGTTTCCTCCACTGAGTTTCTTCAGTTCAGCAACCAACTCAAAATTTGATCTCAAAGGGAAATCTTGGCCACACAAATTAATAACATACTTCCAGGGAACTGAAGAGTCCATCAAATCAGACAAACAATTGAAATCTGCTTGTAGCCGTGAAATGTGTGCATAGTCCACTGTCTCCAATTTTGATGCAATGAAAATATTGGGGAAACATTTAGCTAGACTGTTCATCGCAGATTTGAAGCTTTTTGCTGATTTCTGGTCATAATGGATGCAGTAAATATTTTGATGACTGTACAGTGAACCTATGAGCCTTTCTACCATTATCGCATCTTTGTGAACAACCAAAGAATAGGCAATTGGAAAGCTCTCCTCCTCTGGAGAAACAGGGTTTAGGTGGTATTTCCTAAGTGAACGATATGCTTGGCAATCACTCGTCATTGCTACGACATCTTCATCAGCCAAATCAATTATCTCTTTTCTTCTTATCTCTAAGCTCTTGCCAATTTCATGGGGATCTTGTTCATATACAGACGAACAATTAATTTCATACTGGAACTCATTTCTAAGGTAGGAATACCTGTTTCTAACATAAGAAGAAGTGCTCAAGAAGTGCTCAACCAAATAAATGCCCTTGGAGGGAAAAAAGTGTCTTTCGACATGGAGGAGCTTCAGCAGTGCAATCAGCCACCCTGTAACACACAGTATCAGGATCTTCCTTCGTGCAGGACATTTGTAGGGGCACTTGCGTCTCTTCATTCTGCAAGAAAAGAGAGACATGATGCCCTTTTAAATCAGGAACTAAGTATCAGAGACAGCTCCAGCTTCCAGCAAAGACCTGCGCACACTGGTCTGTCTACAGCATAAACACCACTTCGGCAGGACAGAGCACTGGAAATTCTTAATCATGTTAATTCAGAGACAGATTTTACCACAGTAATAGGCAAGTATTTCATTCCCCTGAATTAGCTGACTGAAGGCAAGAAACCAGCTCATATTTCAGATGATTTCCACCTAAATGAGAGTGTTGGAACAAGACTCCCACTGTTTATTTTCCAAACTTTTTTTTTAATTTCTTATGAGTCACAAAGTGAAGTAGAGCAACCCCTGCATTGGTAGAAACACGACTGTCCTCTAAGTGAGCAGGAAGGATTGTTTATTTTCCTGAGTAACTCCAGGGGGTTCAATTGGATCAGCAAGGGTATCTCTTGTGAGTCTGCAAAGAATGTGTGCTTAATGGTAGATATTAGTATTTTAAAAAAAAACAAAACCAAAAACAACATTAAACTGAAAACTTTAGAATTCAGCCAGAGCATCCTCATTGTCTCTAACACTGGGGCTGGCCCGTGAAGATGTCCGAGAGGAAATGATTTTCCTTCCTATCCTCTCCCAGCAGGGTCCGAAAAGCTCAAAGTCCTCCCTGTGTCCGGATTTCTTCTGGAAAATGCTGCTAACCTCCCCTGAAGAGAGAGACGGACGAAAACATAGCACTTCCATCCATTGGAATGAGTATATAAAGTAATATTTTGAAGGCAGGAGTAGGAGGAGGAGTAGATGAGCAATAGCACATCTATCCTGTTCTCTGCCACGTGACACAACCTCAGTTGTGACTGCACAAATACACACACGGCCCCTTTTTATGCAGCAGGGTATTTAATAACATTCCTGTGTAGCAACTTCACAAATGAAGTATTACCACAATAAAAGCTAAATACAGTGATCCTCTTTCCACATAGTTTCGCTTCACCAGCTGAGTGCAAGCAGTGTTGTTGCTATCCCTGATTTTAAAATTATATCCCCCAATTTAAAATTAGACCAGAGTCCACAACCAGGTGCACCATTAAACTTAGCTTAAACTAAGCTCTCCTTTGTTTCTAAATCAAACAGCTCCCAATATTTTCTTTTGAGGAGAAGCTGTTGCAGAATGCTTCAGAGTGAATAAAACGGTGGGGGCCACCAGAAGGGGCTCAGATGTCTGCAGATCCCACGTATGTGTGTAAAATCAAGTATTAATGTGTGCATGCAACACGTGCTGCAAAACTAACTTAGGCATCTTTAGCATTCCCACCAATGTCAGGTCTTGCAAGCTGTAGCTTCAGTGAGAATGCAGCCTGTCGAGGCAGAGCTGCTTCCTTAGTCTGTTCTCCCTGACTTTCCCTTGCCCTCTGTGTCTTTCTCCTTGATATTTCTCTTCTGAGGGCAACAGAAAGGAGGAGGAAATGCCACCACCATTTCACCTGAGGGTGCCAGGTATAGACCGGGGAAGGGAGCAGGGTGACCCGACACGTACCTATTTTGTAGAAGCCAGACCTCAGCACCTCTCTGCGGGTTTTACAACAACCTCCAGGTATGCTAACAGGCAAAGAGAAAAAACAGATCTGTCTCCCCACGAAGCCAAAAATCCCACCTTCCCCCTTAGCCACCAGGTGCTCTTCTTCACTTCTTCTCCAAACTAATCCCAGCTCAACCTCTAACCCAGGTCTCCCCTTTACCTACTTCCTTCCTGTATGTACGCTCTTGGAGAAAAGTCGCTCTTAAAAGCCGCTCCTAACCAAAGCCAGGTTTCCAGCCATGTGACAGAAGCCCTGCAGAGGTGAACACAGCAGACCTGCTCCCGTTTTTTTCTTTGGAGGGAGAACACCTGTCTGGTGCGATCTCTCTGTGAAGCCTGCCTGGTGCCTCTGCCCTGTGGTCTCCCTGGCTACCAAAGACAACCCCTACCACTCCTGGATGAACCAGGATTGTGTCATCCAGGGAGCAAACCTTCCCTTCCTTTCTACCTCCTTCAAAAAGGCAAGAGAGAGCCTGGACAAAGAAAAAGGAAGGGGGAAGAGAGCATATTCTCCACTGGTCCAAACTCCCTCTATCTGTGGTAGCCCTGGCCACTTTCCACCCAGTGCCAAACATTCTGTTTCTAGGCAAACCAACAAAAAAGCCATTGCGTCACACTTCCCTGCCTGAAACTACCAATCTAGACCACTGGAGCCTGGTGCAGTCCGGAGTTAAGCCAGGATGTGGACAAAATCACCTGGACAGCACCGAGGACTCCTTCTTTGCAGCTGATGAGCAAAGGATCCACACTCAGCTTCCTGAATATTCCTATGGTTTTCAGCACTGCCAACCACAAGACACTATTATGTCATATAAAGAGGTCACAGAAATCCAGAAGATTGTGGTGACATGGTTCAAATTCCCTGTGGAGGAAGGAATTAAGGAGCCCTGGTAGGAAATCTCAGCTCCTCCACCGAATCCCTTGTTTATGGAGGATCTCCCCTGATCCTGGCCAGCATCTGGTCAGATGAGTGCATGAGGAGCCAGCAATTACATCCACAGCCCCATCTGTTTGTTTCTTGGGTTTTGGTTCTGGGTTTTGGTTTGGGTTTTGGTTTGTTTTTTTTTTTTTTTTTTTTTTTTTACAACACTTGCTATATTACCATCACCACAGTGGTCCAGACAAGAATCAGGCCATGCATGACCCCAACCACTCTTAAGCACTCTAACATCTCTCCAGCACTACCAATATCCTGTTGTCCCTCATGCTCCACCCTTAACACATTCAATTCATACTCTCTTGTTGTTATTTCCGAGGCACTCCATAGCCAGGCTCTGTATATCCGTACGAGGGCAACAGCTTTGCTCTTTAGGAACAAATCATTTACCTCTAATCAGGATGAAGTTACTTTCCACAAAAGACCAGGATTTCTTGAGGAACAGTGCAAGACCAGGGAAACAAATCCCTTGGGACAGAAGGGGCCATCACAAATCTCATCAGGTTTTGGTTCAAGTGTAAAACTCCTATTTCTTACCACATGCATCACTCGAAGCCCTGCTCGGACATAGCAGTGTACTCTGCATGCAGTCCCTTCTGGAGGAGGAATGAACGACATGTGGGCAGGCGGGAACAGGCACCTAGAGCTGCCTGAAGCACCTATCTGGGATAGTAATGACCAGGTGCTACCTTCAGTTTTCTTGCTCATGAGTATTTTTTTTCCTTGAGTGCTTCCATACGATACGCAGGACCAACGTTCCCTCTCTGCACACAGATTCTATACTAGGAAGGGAGCTTGGCATTGCCATTTTGCCTTGTTTCATAAAACATTTGTGCTTTCTCTTCTACATGCGAGAAGACTCCTGAGGAAATTAACAGAGACTGATCTTATCCTGTGACAAATACATATCGCACGCACAGCTGGTCTATATACACACACGTACAGCGTCTAATCTGGTCAGGGCAATTCCAAGCTGGGATGCAAAGTACTGAATGATTCAGAGAAGATAAATGGGTGGGTTTATGCAGCCTTTGCAACTATAACACAAGAACAAGAGATGGTCAAAGAAAACAAACATGCAACAAATACAAGAGAAACGCATCCATGTTATGTAATAAAACACATGTTCTTACACAACACGTAATTATAGCCTATCATAAGATACCTTAAAGACCATGAACTCAGCAGGACCCAAAAAGGCAATCAGCTGGCTGTTGAGAGTTTCCAGAGTATACCTTTGCCAATACATAGATATGGACGGAAAGCTAAATTCCCTAGAACCATTACACCAGGCAATTACCAGCTGCCAGTATTTCTGACTGGAAATTTTTACCAATAAAAATGTTTCTTGTGACCATCACTCTGTTTCCTGAATCTGCTTTTATCTACTGCTGGACCAGAAGAGGGATTGCTAGTTAGATCCATGACAGCAATATTTGTATCCCACACAGAGGGCAGCCAGGTTACCCACTGGTGTATTTCACTGCCTTTTTTTGTACTTTCCTCCCTGCAAGAAGCTGTTTTGGGCAGCCTTTACATCTTCAAACACTTCAAATAACTCGATTTCTGCAACTGTGCAAGCTGCGCGTTGACAAAAAAAGGAGGAATGAGGAGGGTGGTAGGAGAATTTCACACCCTCCTGAAAAAGTTCAGCTGACGATCAAGTCCTTCTGCTCACTAACCACTGTGTTGGCCTCAGTCAGCAGACTAAACCCTCCTGAGGGGACCAAGCAAAGGCTAAGCCTTGCCACGCTCAGATTGAAACTCTGGGTCCTCCCCTCCAAGGCGCGCTCCAGCTAGGCTCAGCTGTCTGCATCTGCCTAAGGCAATGATGCTGGGCTTGCAGAGGGACCAGAAACCACACGGCACCTGTCAAGCAGGCAGAGGAGCTCCATGCCCTCCTACGTGCTTCAATCTGGTGCGCGCATCTCGGGATTTGGGATGCTGAAGAATTCTTTTCAGAGTCTGGCTTTTCCCCCTGTGTACTGAAAGTTATGAACCAAGCTATGGCCATCTAAAGGAAGCACTGAGAAGGGAGGCCGAGCTGAATGCAAAAGCGTGCTATAGAAAATGCATGTAGGACATACACTAGAATTAGACCTTGGTTTCTACTGACCTGCAGCAACTGGGGAAGAGAGGGAGAACATGGAAACAAGAACAGAGGAAAAAACACCTATGTGTCTATGGACATTTATATATATTTTTTGGGTAACACAGCAAAGGTCTGAGGAAATGAGGTGAAGCATGGCCTTATCACACGGAATAGCCATGGAATACCTGTTGTCTCAACAGTCACTTCCAACTGCTATCAGCCAGATGTGCAGAAGTTTACCTTCCTGCAAAAAATTGTTGCTCCTTTTTGCAAACTATTGAGTCTTACTCCAGCAATCTGTAAACATAAATTAACAGCTAGTGAAACTGCAGATTACCCAGAAGTGTGCAAATGCCTACAGTGGGCACATCACAAACGTGAAAAGCAGCGTATGCACCC